CATATATACCTAGCGCGATGACATTTTATGTTTATTTCAAACCTGTAAAAGCGTTTTTAAATCCGTTCACTCGTTTTGGAGTTATCCATTAGAATGCAAATGTCGGTATTCCAGCATCGCCTTAACACTCGAAGTTTTCGTATATCGAGCATGTTCCAATCAGAAACGCGTCTTCAGAGCGCGTTCCAATGAGAAACGCGTTCTTCTCTCATCGCGTAACTTCAAGTGTTAAGGCATTCGTGTCCCCGTCTGTACATTATGTGTGCTATATTGTTTTCAAGAAATAGCTTTCTTTATTTATAATATGACAGACCGCACCGAGCTGCGTATAACGCTATATTCGCTACGTTAGCGACGTTGCAACGCGTCGCGGAGTGTTTATGGTTCTCGGCAATTTTTTTGGAAACGTGTTGCCCTAGTGTACATGCGCAATGGGACCGAGAATAAGTATTTCATTGCTGTCATGTAGTTCAGCAAAATGTCATTTGTGAAGATTCTTACTGAAACTCGAAAATATTCTTTAAATTTTATATTATCCTCATGCAATGGTCAAATGAAATTCACCAATTCTTGGTTGTTTTACATTTACTTCGTTTGTACCTGTCTTCTTTTCTGCACAGTACACAACATTAATAATAATTAAAAAACAAGAAGTGATTCAGGCTCCGATGATTAAAATTTAAAATTAATAAGAATATAGGGCAAGGAGCTAAGCTATTCGTTCGTGCTAACAAGATATATATATATTACCTAATCAAAAATAATTACATATGATAATTTACAACCAAACGATCGTTTCGGCTTGACATCAAGCTCTCCTCAGTGGTATTTTACAATTTTTAAAACAAGTGTCACATTCTTCTATTACATAAAAATGAGTGTCTTGAACTCATTTTTATATATGTAATAGAAGAATGTGACGCTCGTTTTAGAAATTGTAAATACTAGGAGAGCTTGATGCCAAGCCGAAACGATCTTTAGGTTGTAAATTACCGTAATTATTTTTGATTGATATATCTTGTTAGCACGAATATCTAGCTAGCCTTTTTGCCCTATACTCTTATTAATTTTAAATATTAATAATAATATATTTTCTTGTCAGAATTGTCACTATTCTCATTCAGGGCAAACTATCGTATTCAATATCTTGAATGGAAATCTGATGAATAGAAACGTTCATCCAGAACACAGCTTTTGGTATGGCTTTACCATTTAGTGTAGTGAACACAGTGCACATAATATACATAGCGTAGCATTCGATGTGGCTTTACAAAATTATAGTCAAATTTCTTGCAACTATTGTGCCCAGCTTTTTAAGATATTTAAATCAATCAATAATTTTTATATAAAGCAAAAAATTAAATATTGTAATATGATAATATTGATATCTTAAATCCAAAAAGTGACCGCATATTACTTACCAGTGATTCATATTACCGGTGATCCATATTAGGTATTCACACAAAAATAACGATTTTGCTAGAAGGTTTAAACATTTTGAATACAGATCTGAAAATAATTTTGTTGGCTTATCAAAATAATTTTGTTGGATGGTCAAACTGATTGCTAGAATATCAAAACGTTTTACAGCAGTGTTTAACATTTTCTAACAAAATTATTTTCAGATCTATATCAAGCAAAATTTTTAGACTTTTTAGCAAAATCGTTCTTTTTGTGCACCAATATTGCATTATACGTCATAATTGTACATATATTCACACATGATATCAAAAAATATTTCATAATTATACAGTCAATGGCACAAGAGAGTCGTATGATACTCCGAACAAAATCGAGTATATTCAAAATTAAAGTTATATTAAAAATTACATTATATATACATTAAAATACGTTTACTTACAATTAGTATGACACTCAATCACTATTATTGTAGCTTGATATTGATTATAGCTTATAGTCGAGACATGCTTTCCGAGATTTTGATGTGAAAATAACATCACGATGGATTGGCCTTCTCATCTCTGGATGCAAATCCGATTGAAAATATTTGATCAATTACGAAAATAAAGCTTCGAGTAACGAAAATTTGTCACTTTAAAGTTGTTATTTTGGGCACATTCGGAAGATTTGGAATCCTTTTCCAGAATTCTAACTGAAAATCAAGTTTCGACGGCATAAATTAATATAGCTATAAATTAAGAAAAGAATAATGCTAAATGCTATGAAGCTATAAATAATAATAAAGCTGTAATAATAATGATGATTAAACGTCATACTAATAATGTACTTTTACTTAACTTTTACTTACTTTTACAATATAACTTTAATTTTTAATATAAGTACTAAATTTTTTTAGAGAACTTTGATGTGCTACTGATTGTATCAATTGTATGTTTCTTTTTATAATCAGAACAAATGGCTTGAACGAAAAGTACCTATAACGTGGATATCTCCGGTGACCCACGTGGCATGATTAATAATACCAATAAGCAACTTTTTACAAATTTAAAATTTGCGCAACAAGCGAGTGTCAGTGCCCTTTGCAACGTTGCCATATTTCTCCCAATGCTTCAATATTTTTGTTTGCGATTTTGCCAAGCGACGAAAAATAGGGGTCGAATCGGGAAAAAGCGAGAGAGAGAAAGAGGAGGAAATAGAATGGGGTGAGAGAGAGAGAGAGAGAGAGACGAGGGAAATATCTGCACGAAGGGACAAAGCCGTCGAGTGGCGGACGTGAATTTATTGCATCCAGACGAGAAGCGAAATCGGGAGGGGGATCGACCGGAAGAGGCAGGGGGTAGTGGGCGGTAGGGGGGAATATAGGGGGACAGGCGACACGGGTGGGGCGTGGCAGTGCGTCGCTTATTATACTTTCTTATTATTTATCATCCTTCATAAATACCGATCTCACTCCAGGGGATGCTCACTCTCGGAATGAGGGACGCGCGGGGAGCGGCCGAACAGAGATGATTTATAGAGGCCTCGAATTAGTATCGCCCATCTCGTGGATTTTTTTTTTCTGCGTACTGACTCGGATACGTGTTAATAATATCAGGTGTCTCGTAAGTCGCGCATTCTCGATGATTCGTAAATCTAGATGAGTAAATTGGATTGTAGATTGTGCCGTTGTAGATTATCTTTAGATTGTTTTATAAGATAATAATATTAGTAATTATTTCTCTTACGACTGAAAATCAAATTTTGGATCTCGTTTGTTCAGTCCGCATTGCGTATTTTTAAAGTATTCTAAAATATTCAAACGCTATATGTCAAATGCAAGATTTAATAGACTTTTAAGAAAATTTTACACAAAATACATTTGACATTTTAATAATTTTCATGTTTGTAAATGTTACCGTGTGTTGTATAAATTAAATTAACTCTTTAAGCAGTTTTATTATTACTTAATTTTAATAGTACTAATTAATTTCAGCTTTAAAACTAAGTTAATTTTTAATGTTACAACAATTTTAATAGCTCTTTATACATCTTTACACGTTTGAGTGACAATTTTAATTTATTTTAAGAATATCTTGTCAATTTTAGGAAGCAAAATCGACACTATATGTATGATGGAATAATAATTGCCTTGCATGATCTCAGGCTAATCCAACTTGGAATCTACCAGCGGCATACTAATTTGGGTACTTTTAGACTCGCATGACCCGAGAGTAGCAGACGGATGAAATCGAGAATCCATTAGCGACCAATTGAAATTCCGATCCAGTCCGCTAAAGAGTGAAGTACTTAAATACTTTTGTACGGGCGACGAACGCCTTTTGCTATTATTATAGTTTCGTGGAAGACCATTACCGTTGGTGGTTACAAGATTAAAAATTTCTTAGTTCGAAAGCGTCGCATCGCAAAAGTGTAAAATTTCAGAATTACAAGATAAAATTTCTTCCAGGAAATATTTACGGCGGAAAAAATATTTTCTTTTCTCAATGCAATGAGAATTAACGATGCGCACAAATTTAATTTAATTTAATTGTTCAGAGAAATGTGATTAATTATTTAGAAAAATTTTCCTCTTTAATATACGAGAACTGTCAGATAAAATTTCATTTTTTGCCAATAATTTCTGTTAATCTCATTAAAATTTAAAAATGAAAACTTTAATAAAAATAAAATAAATGAGATAATGCAAAATAAATCCGATAGAACTGATTAAAGCAATAAGATGTTATATCCTGGTAATTAAAAAACTCAAAAAGTTAAGAAACAATTGATTAAATACCAAAGTGTTAAAAAATATATGCAACATAAAAATAGTCTTTGAAAAATAGAATTTACGATGATTTTAGTAATAACCTTGTAAAATTAATCTAAACTTTTAAAAGATAATGTCAAAATAAATTTTTTGAATAATTAATAATTAAAAGTACGTAGATTTTGATATTGATGATTTTTAGGTCGAACGTGCATACGTAGTGCATTAACAGTTTCTTGCGCAGAGGTTGCGACGGTTCTCGTAAAATCGGAAATTAGGGGGCTATGCCCGGCGGGGGTTGGGTGGCAGCGACCAGGTATTTAAATGGATTCAATTTGGATCGGTGCCAGGCAGGCTCGTGCCAATCGTCGAAAGATGCTCGTAAAAGATGAAACTCTCGACTCGTCGTCGGACGAATTAATCGCCATCTCGGCAAATCGAGTCGCTATTAAAGAAGTCGCAATGCGAGTTCGATAAACGATCTGACCTAAAACCATCGAGATTCATGTCGCATTTAACATCTTCAACATTGTATTTCATCAGAGCTCCAAATTCGTGAAAAGTAATATATTTTTTGTTAATTTTAATTTTCTTATTTAGACTCATTTTATTAACGTAATCAATATGTTAATCTAATAATTAAATAAAATTTGTTGTAAAATTTATATTTTGTACCTTAATGTGAGGGAAAGAAATAAAGAGATGAATTTTTAAATAATTTAATTTATATTGATTTTTAGATATATTTTCACCGAAAATATCTTTTAATTAGATATATTTT